CTGTTCTCATTGCAAAATCTTTTCCTATTTCTTTTAATCAAGCTCAAAAAACATTGCAAACTGAAGGCCTTTCTTTTAACAAGGCAACAGTGCAAAATCCTTTTTAAGTTTGGATTTTCAACGGTTTGCAAACCGCTTTCCTTCACAGAAATCTGACAACATTGTTTCTTTTATTAAAATGTTTTCTGTTTTTATTGTTGGGCAGGTACAAAAAAAAACATAAATTTTTTGTGATTTTTGTTTTTAAAACAATAATACATTTTAGCCAGACCATATCATCTGGAAGACATATTAGTAAGATTAGATGTTGCCGTTTAATACAACACACCGTAATCCCTGCTAATGTGTTTACTTCTTACCTAACGTGTGCATCACAGCCCCTATTTGTAAACACATCTCACAGATCAGCCATTTTGCATGTAAATTCTGAATAATAGAGGCCAAACACAACCTAAAGCAACGTTATGAGACGCCTCGGAATTCAAAATAAACAAAGGACTGCTGAATAGAATGTAAAAACGTAAAGGGCTGCCAAGATGATGAGCAGGGCCTCTTACCTTCTGGTGTATTTATTAGCAGACAGGATGAGGTGCAGCCTCTGCAGCGAGTCCAGCGTCTCATGGCCGAGCTCCTTGACCTGAAGCAGCTTCACAAGTCGGCTGTAAAATTTCTGCAGCTCAGACTCCTGAATCTCCCTGGAAACAACAAACCGAACAAGGATTCATCCGTTTAAGGCTATTGGTTCATTTGGGTCATCTGAAATTACCGTGCAAAAGTCTTAAATCATGTCTGGTTTCATCTCAAGGAGCGGCAATATTCCTTTAGGCTTTCCGAGGTGTGCCTTTTCACTCGTTTATAGTCCAATACATGATCATTTTCAAAAGAATATTTTTTATTATTACTAAGACACATAACTGACTCATTTAAGACTTGTTCAGGTAAAAAACGGTTCCTAATCTAAAGAGATTAAGCAGTATACACAAAATTAAAATAAATTTAATTTTAAATCTTAATGTTAAATTTCACTTTCTGAATTGAATTGAGGGTTGGATGCATTCTAATATATTAAAATGTATTTGAACCGTGTTACACAATGAAACTTTTCAGTGTTTCAGGAAAGAAAAACAAACAAAAACTGGTCAATTATTCAACAAACTGACATCACAATAAAACTGCCAAGGTGATTGTTTACCAGATCACATCTTACTGATGCCTCATTCAGGTTCATTTATTCGCAAACAAAGGATCTAGTTATTAATGGACGGATTAGCTTTTTCATTTTAACACGTTATAATGGAAACAATAAGGAAGCAAGCTCACTTGTTGCTTTCAGATACAGCCTTAACTTTTTACGTAATGGCTACATATTCTGTAAACATTCAGGTTTTGACAGCAATAATGACAAAAACGCAAAGAAACTTTAAGAAAAAAAAAAACAAAGGTAAGAAAAGGAAGTTAAATTGGGCTAAACGGTTTTAGATTTGTTAGCAAACTAAAACAAGAGAAGGTTTTAAATAAAATCCACCTTTTTCTGAGTCCTTACCTCGCTTGTTTAATTAAACTCTCGGAACCGTGAGAGTACATTTTTAATCACAGTCAGCCTGTTTGCTGCTACATCCGTGCTGCAGCGGGACGTAAACAGTGCTGGTGTTAATCAGGTCCGGACTGCACTCACATCACATGACTTCCGTTCCGCTTTCGATCCCTGGAGATTGAAGTATGGCCCATGTAAAACAATAACTCCGCCCAGAGACACATTTTGAAAAATGCCACCAAAGTGGCCTGCGCCAAGTCTGGGGCTGAGCGCAGGGGGTTAAGCGGGGGTGCGGTCGGGAAGAAGTAGCAGCTAGTTTAATTTGGTATATTGAAACATGGAGAGTGAGCACAACGATGCTGGTAGTTTCACCACATTTAGCTCTTTGGAGGTGGAGGATTTGTTTTCACCCCCCTCGTCAGGCTTTATGGAGCCCGGCGGGGTTGAGCCTTTCCAGTTTGAGCCCCTGGTTCAAGGCGAATCGCTGAGTCAGCGCCGTACCTCCACTGCTGGGGTGTGTGAATGAGACGCTTTTAAACTTGGGCTGTGACGTCAGCCTGTACCAACCTGCACCGTTTGAACCAATAGTAAAATTCAACTGCAGTAACCACCGTTCAACCCTCAGAGGGCAGCACTAAGACGGTTTTAGGATAGAATTAAACAAGTTTACATGAAATTGAAAAAATAAAATAAAAATAGCACAGTAACATAGGATAGCAGCCTTCAGGCCCAATTTGTACAGCCTATCTGCAAAAAAAGTTGATTTGGGGTTTAGTTCCTCTTTAAAGAGGGGTACCATTAACGCAAATAATTAACTCCTGCAGCAAGACACCCAAATAATTGACTTCCACATGCTGTTTCACCATCCACACTGTGAAATCACAACACTTTAATTTCCTGTAGTCAAACGTAGTTCGGGTCATATTTTTTGGTGACCATGGTAAAGATGCATAAAAAGCCTTGACATAAATTCATATGTAATAGCATGATCTCACAAAAAAGTCAAATACAAAAATGACCTTCAGTGAACTTAATAGAGGTGTTCCCATGTGGAGAAAAAAATGTTTTAGCAATATTAGAAGAAGCCCCGCTTTTGTCAACATGATAAAACTTTGTCCTTTCCTGTAACATTCCACAAGGTTGTGGATGTTTGCAGAATGTCTGTAGATCGTTCGAAGCCTCAGTCTTCTCTTATGCTCTCCTCTTTTCAGCTACAAAGGGTCTCTATAGGACTTAGACCTGTAGACTGAGATAGAAGGAATCTGGTTTGTGGCTGCTGCACCTCTTCTGTGATCATTTGACCAGATGTTTTAAATCATCATTAAAGATCTGTTTGTGATCTGTTTTCAATTGTCTGGTAGAGTCAGATATTTGTTTAAAAGTTGTTATGCCATTCATTCCAGTATGGTCCTCCCTCCAGGAGTGTTTGTTCCCAGAAAGCTTGGTCTTAGTCTCATGTGACCAAAGCATGAAGTTCCAGTTAAAGTCCTGGTAGACTTTTACCAAAATCCACATGTTTTTGTTGGAAGGACAGAAAAAATATATATATTTTCTGGAATCACAGTCAAAAAACAGCATGCACATAGCATCTAATGGTTTGTATGGTGACCCCAAGATGCCAATCTTTTCTTCTACCTCCCTTACCATCCTGCCCTCTGTGTTGGCAACGTTTTCTGAGTGTGCATTACTTACTAGGTTCAGAATCCAAAATGAAGGAGCTCCAGGTCTTTAAAGAGAGCACAGCCACTGTCCTGTCCGAAAATGATCTTCGTGAACTTACTAAAAAGGCACAAATTGTGTCCAGATGTGAATATTATATCCAGTTTCACATCCCAACAGGTAATTTTCCCTCTAATACTGATGCAGGTCCTGGGTTTTGTCATGTTAGAACCTTTAATTTTTCTTCTTAGAACTAGGTCACAAAACTTCCATCTAACTCATTAAAATGACTGCCCTCCAAGCATTTGAAACAGATATTTGATCAATTTAAGCCCCTCGCCCCTGCTGCAGCAATAGTATATAAGTATGTCTTCAGATAAAAATTTATATTACTGACAGGACTATCTTATTTTTATTATTATTGTCTTTCTCTGTATCAGCCTGTTTCTGTTTGTGGTTTGTGACACCTGCATTTCCCACTGAGGGGCAATAAATGATATTTCTATTCTATTCTATTCAGCTTACTGATTTGTGATGACCAGCGAGACCGATTGGTTTATGAATGATGAAAGCATTCACACTTTTATATCTGCCAGTCAGAGCAATACTGTACAAATCATACACCATACAAAAGAGGTTAATTTACCTTTATTCAAATTCTAAATACAAAAATGCAGCCTTTTAGGGTTTTAAAAGTGTTCAAGTATTTAAATGTTGCCAACTACATAGGATAAATATGTTACCAAGGATTTCTTCGTAGGTGCATGACCCATAATGTTTTGAAGAATATTAGGAGTATGAAATTCCCGTTGCTGATCAGGAACTCATGAACAAGCTTTGTGAATTTATGGGAGTATTTCCCACTCAATGGATTGTTACTAAAACCCTTTTATTTTGGTAACGGTTTTGGCAGTGACAGATATTGTGTTTTGTAGCTTCAGCATTTTGGGGACATTTGTTTTACAAGTAGCTACGGTGAGCTACTTTTATGTGAAAAACTATTAGCACCAAAGTGGCTAAAAGTGAAGCCTTTTATTTAATGGTTTTGCTAACTCAAGGGTAGAGATACTTTTGATTTTGATTTAAGGTAAGATTTACTGTACCCAGAGTAAATTTGCAATGTCTTGCTGAAGACACTGTCTGAACAGCAGATCAGGAAGCGATCTCAGTTAAGGGGGACAAAGACGGTACTCAGAGGTAAGCCGTATAATGGTGAATGATTCTTGTCTTATGTAAATTGTGGTTGTTACTGATTGTAGGTGGTGGGACAGCAGCTCAAGAGGTGGCTGATGTAGGTCTGGGTTAGTGGTGTTCTGAGGTTCAAATGGTTTCATCTGCTGATAAAAAGGGGTAGAGAGGCTTGTGAGTGGTAAGTGATGAGGACCAGTGGTGTAATTTTGTGGCATGAGTTAGGTAGGTATTGGAGATCTGAGCTGACAGCGACTCAAGGATGTGGGGATTTCGCTGATGGAGACTGAAGGTGAAACCTAGAAATGTGTTTCTGGTACACAGGGACACAAGATGCAAGATGACAGGTTGATTATCACAGCCAAAGGTGACAATCAGGCACCAAATAAGAGTCCTGCTGGTTTGTTTAAACTTGCTGGCCAGACTTTGCTTTAAAATCAATCAGTCTCAGGTGACATTATGTGCTCTTCATAAATCAAAATGCCAAAGTCAGCTTTTTTTTTTTTTTTTTTTTTTTTTTTAAGATATGTTTTCAGCACTAGTGGCCTTTATTTTGTATTTTCTTTGACAGTAGGCAGACAGGAAAGAGGGGTAGAGAGAGGGGGAGACATTCGGCAAATGTCGCTGGGTCCGGGACTCGAACCCGGGACAGCCGCTTCGAGGATTGTAGCCTCTGCGCCTCTGCGCTTTCACCCCTACACCATCAGCACCAAAGTCAGCTTTTTAGTTACATATACTCACCAGCCACCTTTCCAACTGCTCGTTAACGCAAATTTCAAATCAGCCAATCACATGGCAGCAACTCAATGCATTTAGGCATGTAGACATGGTCAAGACGATCTGCTGCAGTTCAAACCGAGCATCAGAATGGGGAAGAAAGGTGATTTAAGTGACTTTGAACGTGGCATGGTTGTTGGTGCCAGATGGGCTGGTCTGAGTATCTTAGAAACTGCTGATCTACTAGGATTTTCACGCACTACCATCTCTAGGGTTTACAGAGAATGGTCCGAAAAAGAGAAAATATCCAGTGAGCATCAGTTCTGTTGGCGCAAATGACTTGTTGATGCCAGAGGTCAGAGGAGAATGGCCAGACTGGTTCGAGCTGATAGAAAGGCAACAGTAACTCAAATAACCACTCGTTAAACCAAGGCATGCAGAAGAGCATCTCT